TTTTTATATATATATAAAAAATCATCACTTAATTAATCACTATCCAATCGTTCCGATACCTGTGATCACCCTCTGTAGTATAGAAGTGACAATCAGTTTGATTCCAGAAATTTTTTGATAAATGCTAATATGAATTCTGATTAGCTAAAATAAAAGATCCTTAATGTACAGTAGATATCAAAAGTATCGTCTGAATTTTTATTAAAAAAAATTTTTTTTATTTTTTAATTTTTGCATTATGTATTGTTGGCCTCAATGGCAAGTCTGTCACTAATCTGAACCAAGACTCATATTATATTGGAGAAATGGGTCTTTGTTGCTGGTAATACCAAAGGTACGTGTGACGATAGTTATCTTACTTTTCCTTTTTCTTAGGTTGATCTCCTCTTCTTAATTCTTGTTGCCAAGCTGCGGGCCTATGGATTCTTTCTAGGACAATTAAAGACAAATAAGATAAGTTTATTAATTATTATTGCACAGCACAAACAATTGAGTTTTGCAAAAATAAGTATTTTATTAATTCTTGATTCTCTTTTTTTACATTTGGATATCATTGCTATTTATATAACTGTGACACATCTCTAAATCTATCATCGCATTATACAACTTTGACAAACTTTGTATCCATTGATTATGCATGATTGATGCATGATCAATACCCCATGTGATATTGCGCTGGGCCCCACATGTCACGTCATGCCCTACTACAATTTTTATATTAATAGTATATCAATTTTTTTTTATATTTATTTAATATTCGATGCATGACTCCCTACATTTATTACTGCCTTAATTCTTCATGACATTGAGTTAACCACTGCCCGAAGAATTGATATATTCATACTTTTCCATGCCTCTTTTAAAGCTATCTTAAGTTCATTTTTGTCTTTTAAAAAATTTTTTCTATTTTGAATATTATCTTTTAAGATCTTCCAGATGTTCTCTATAGGATTAAAATTAGGGGATCATGATGACCAATCTATAGATTTAATTTTTTATAATTTAAGCCAATTTGATACTTTGTATATAAGGGCATTATCATGTTGAAAGATTATATTTAACTCTATTAATGGACATATAGTGGTAACAAATGGTACAAGATGATTATCAAGAACCTTAATATAAATTTTTTTGTTGATTTTTTGTTTGGAACCATTGTAATTATCAAAAAAACCAGGGAATCTTTAATTTCACCAATGAAACATAACCATATCATTACTGAAACTCTTCTACTCTTGAAATTCAGTATTAAACATTCATGTTTATATCTTTAATCAGTATAATAATGTCATACTTTAACCTGATAAGATTGTTTTCTTACTTCAATACTCATCTCATTAGAAAAAATAACACTTCACTACTTGTAAATATTCTTGTTTTTATTTTGTTCACATTAATTTATACATCTACTTATATTATTACTTGATAAAAAAGGTTTTACAACAGTAACACAAGAATGAACTCCAAAGTTATGTAAGACTCTGGCTACAGTTTTTTGATTACATTGAAGATTCAAATCTTTAATAATATTATATAAAGACTTGCATCTTTTTTTTAGAACTTTTTTTAGTATAGTTGTTTTTTCTTGCTTTTTTAAAGCAGGGGGATGTCCAGACTGAGATAAATTTTCAATCTTTTTTGTCTTTTTATATTTCTTTAAAAATCTTTAAACTGTTGTTGGGTCATGGCCAATCTTGTGGACAACTTGCTTTACACTTATGCTATTGATATAAGCAAGAATTATTTCTTTTTCAATATCAGTCATATGAGTGTATAACATTTTATTAAAAGTTTTTTTTTGAAAAGAGGCTTGTTTATTTCGATGTCAAGGAAGCAAAAAATAAAAAAAAAATTGCCTAAACATATAAATAGAAAGTAAACACAGTCCTTTTATTTGCTCACGTATAATGATCTGCAAATTGGGTGATATTTTTAATATCTACTGTACAGTTAAGAATTTTTTTTAATACAGTTTCATTTTTTTAAAAAATTTCAAATTATTTTCTACTAAAAATAATTAATTTCCTGACACTTTTTTGACTCATGGATTTAAACACTTGGGAATGCTATGTATATTCCTAAATTATTAATAATTAATAATGATTATAATGACTTAATAATATATGGTGTAGCTAATTAGTATAGAATATATAAAAAAATGAAAATTTGTATCAATATTTTCTCAAAAATTGCTAAGATATTGGTGGACCAAACTTTTATTAAATTCGTTGATAATTTATTTAATTCATTATATCAATATTATTAGTATTAATAATGCTTTATTGATTTTTTCATTATTAATTAAAACTCAGAGGTCCTATCACTCGCTATGTAAATAACTGAAAAAATGAAAGACTTATATATAATGAATTATGATCACTTTTTTATAAAACATTTAATTAATACAAAAATCTAGTTAATCCCTTTAAATTAATTAAAGTTGAAGTTATTGAAGAGTTGAATATTCAGTTAGGTAAGTGTTATCTTATTGAAGATTTTATGAAACATGATATTTCACAAAATCCAGCTAATAAGATCTTTTCAGAGTATCAGGAAAGTAATATTAACAAATATAGACTTGCAAAATTCATACCCCTTTTAATAGTTGTGATTAAGGCTAGTAGAAAAAATATCTTTTGTTTAAAAATTTT